CCAGTTGTGGCCTGAATTGAATTGCCATTGTGAACCTCAGACCCTGAATTCTAGAACAAGTAAAACCAGGCGGAAGTGGCCATATTGCCCCACTGGTCTCTCAACTCAAAGGGCTGAAGGGGCATTGCCAAAAACTAACAAAGGGCATTAACCAGAAATGCCAAGTGGAAATATACATGAAAGAGCCAAATCTTGTTCCATGTAAAGCCAATATGAAGCTTACCAGGCTTCAGTGGAAACAGGGCAGGCACAAAATTAACACAGGTGTTTGGACACTGGAGTCTGAGCAGAATCTGACCCAGAGCTCAGTGAAATCATGGCAAGTCTTTTAACTGAAGTCAGTGGGATCAGGATCAGGCTCATAGTGAACAGAGTGGAAACTGAGGAAGATACTAGAGGATAACAATACATCCATTCACTTCGCCCTTTTGCAGTGCCTTTCACCCTAGGAGCCTGCTCACATCTAACTGAAAATACAACACCCCTTCTTTAGGTATTAAAAGATACCGAAAAATCCTTTTTTGAGAGCACTATGATCTGCCTCTGTGGTGGGGTGTATCAAATGGTTAATATAGTAAAGCCATACAACAGAACAGCAGAAGCAGAAGAGAAACAAGTATTCAATATCCCACTGGAAAAGCAGAGCAAGTCAGGTGGGGAGAACATAATTATCCAAGGAAGAATTTTGGAAAGGACACTGGGGTAAACAGATCTCCGTATGCAAAGTGCCAAGGAACCCTCAATGACCTCAGCTCTCTTGGACCGCAGTTTGATGGCTTATGCAAAAGAAAGCATGTCTAGCACTACAGGACTACATCACCCTCCTGGGCTCCATGGAGAAAAGGTTTTGCTTGTATTAGTTTTCAGTGTACTGCCTTTCAATTTTCTTGACTGTTCCCCTGGTTTTTATGCCATGAGCAAGAGAAAGAGAAGCCCCTGATTTGTCCTCTCTTAATGAGAGAGGCAGGAAGTAAGGAAGAGAGAAAAAAAGGGTGGGTAGGTAGAATCTGTTCCCAACTGCAGCAAAGGAAATATGGCCTAAAATGGCTAAGCCTGAGGCCTCTAAACTTGAGAAAAGGTGGAGTGAAATCAGGGAGATCAAAGGAAACAGAGCAGAAATTACAGAGGGCAACATGAGAGACAGAAGGAGCTTGAAAACAAGTCTGTCATTTAATCCCCAGGGTCAGTTAGAGCCTAAGAGATGATGCATTTCTTGTGAATAGTATTTTGGTTGTCAGCATTTGAGAAGAACTTTGGAAGGATGTGACACAAATGGAGACTGAGCCCGAGCCTGCCCCTGCTGGAGTCAGTGGGAGTTTTGCTATTAACTCTTCTGGGAGCAGAATCAGGCCCATACTGGAAATGGGCATGTCACCATCTCTACTAGCAACAACTCTGTAGCATTCTCTGTAACAGCAAGGTGTCTGATTATCTCTACAGCCTGGGCGGCAGCCAAGTACCTTCTGTAAGGAACACCGCACAACACTTTACTGGGTATGAATATAAATCTGTAGGGATTTTGCAAAATATCCTGGAAAACAAAGGATTTAGATTCCAGAAGACGTGAATGTGCAAACAAAAAAATGTTCCAGTGCAGAACAGGGTGCAAGTTCTGGAAGAAGCACTTACAAGTGCTGAAGGTCTATGGGGTGGTAATAGGGTTGCTTCACAGAAACTTGGGCAGATTATTGGTGTGAGAAGGGAGTGGTTCAGAATGAGGATGATGTGGAGACAAAGGACTTTCATGCAGAAGTAAAGAGCTTTTTCTCTTCAGGGAGTGGGTGGTTAAAAGCTGTCCAGGAGTGTTCAGCATTCAGGAAGTGCTCTTCCCACAATGGTTTCTGTATATCCCATAGAGACAATTATTTGAGCCTGCCTATAAAAGCCCATGTGATTTTAAACTGAGCTGTGGATAAAGACCTCTCCGTAAGGGGAGAAAAGGATCACCAGGGGAACTAATGAGCCAGTTTCTGCCCTCAGCTGTTACATCTGTGCAATTCCTTTGGCCTTGGTGAAAACACAATTTTGAGATTGCAGGAAACAGGCATTTACAAACCACCATGGTGAATTATTATTTTATATTGATATAGTATCCAAAATATTCACAGATGAAAAGGATGCTAGAAACCATCAAACCAAACAGCCTTCAATCAAGAAAGACGGTGTGTAGCATGAGATTTTTAAAAACAAAGAAAAAGGGAAACGTAACGACAGCCAATGCCCCGCATCTCTGCAAAATGTGTCCGTCAGGAACACCTTGGAAATGTTATTTGAATTAATGTTCATATTAAGCATGCATGTTGGTGTCCAAGCATGGTTACTGATTAGTTTTAGACTACTGCGTTTTATTACATTTTGTCTATGTGTAGTTATATTAGTACATAGATTGATGAGTTTTTTCACTTAGCTTTTCAGCCTATCAGACAAAGATGCAAGGTTAATCTTTTAAAGTCCTTCAGTCCTTAAACAATAGTAGCTTACTGACATTCTGGGTCATATCAGTTTTAATAAACTGAGACCCAATTCTGCTACCATTATCCAGACAAGTAATTACCCAAATGGTCTTGGTGAAATCAATGGGGCTACTTTGGTTAGCAAGGATCTGCTTACACAAAAGTTTGTATGGACCAGCCTGTTTCGAATCAGTGAACTTAGTACACTGATTTTCATGCGTTACTGAAAAAGAATTCAAAGTATCTGTGCTTTACATATTCTTATGGAAAAAATAGCGTCAGACTGTCAGAAAAGCCAGTATTTACTGCTAAAAATCACATCTATGGAATGTAAATGGGTGAAGCAAAAAACACATCTGTTCAGGATTCTGCTTCACAGTTTTCACTTTCATATGCAAATGCACGTCAGATTAAACTTCTGCAATATGGAATTAGTTGATCTAACAGATGTAGTTAATTGCTATAACCTTTATCATTAGGATAACAGGCTAACAAAGGCCAGGCTTGCCTCATCTTTCTCTCCATATTTTGTCTGATAAATATTTCAGTTTGTATTTATCTAGCAGGAGAACACTATGTTGAAATGCTGATTTATGATAGACACTATTATCTCTTAATGGTTTTGGCTGATCCACTGAGGTACTTAGGCACATGTCTAACTTTGTTCATGTACATTAAAGGTAGGAAAGTGCTTAAGTACTTTACTGAATAGGGAATTTAATTGTTAGTAGGACTGCCAATAAGACTGATGGAAGAAAACACTTCAAGATTCAGGACACAACACTTTGTAACTTTCTTAAGTCTATAAATCTCCACCTCCTTTCTGTCAAGTGTGAGCAGCACCATCTCCCAGGTTCCCCATGGCCATAAGGACAGCTGGATAAAAAAAAACAACAACAAAAAACCCATCTTGGCAGGTCTGGGCTGATGCTGGTAAGAAGAGGAGAGCTCTTAGAAAAAAACTTGTTTCCTCAGTCACAACCCCCACGGTCCAGGACATCTGTCCTCACATTGTTAGTCAGTCTGCAGTCCCTGGATTCATTCTGCTACTGGATGCCTGAAATGTTAAGTGGCAAAAAGCACCCAGTTCTCACCATGCTCCACCAGAACGTGCACCCCACCTGCCCCGCGCAGTTCTGACCCTGGAGATTTGTGCATTCGTGACCTCCAAACTCGTGTATCGTTACTTGCTACATAAATATCTCAAAGTGCTCCAAATACTACAAAACAGCAGCCCCTGCCTATCAGCACAGGTGGCTATGAACACACTCCTTTTCTTTCTCCCCCTAATGCTCTCATTGGCCCCACGGCCCAATTCCAGGTCTCTCTCCTGACATCCAAAGTCCTCCATGGGGCTGGCCCGAGTCACTGAGAGATCAATTCTTCCTCTGCCCTCCTGCCCCTTCAGAACAGGAGCAGGGAAACGGGTAAGTGCAAGACAACCTGCCTTGCATCCATGGCTGGCTTCCCTCACACGAGGGAAATGAAGGATCGCAGGACCAACTCCACTCAGAACTTAATGGAAACAGCTTTTAACTTGGCTTTCCCTTCCTGAGCTTTTCCTAGGGAAACACAAACTAAAACACCTCTAAAAGAAGCTATTTCTCCTAGAGGGTGGGAAGGGAAGAGAGAAAGTATTTTAAGTGTTTGGAAAGCACTCAAGAGCCCACAGCGAGGTGGGTCATGAACACAACTGGATAGGTAGGCGTCCAGAAACCTTTACTCCCATGTGCTCCCATCCCACAGCAGTGAGCATCCCAGGCGGGACTTCTCTGTGCATTTGAGTAGAAAGAGCGACTTGGTTCTTTGGTTCCCGACACTGGGGATGCAGACTTGATCCTAGTTGTCTAAGGCAAAATGGTGGCTCAGCTAGTAGTCCAAAAGGCACAGCCCTGCGTGCTCACCTGCTCTAACCCCTTGTCAGACTGACATGCAGCAGCTGGCAAGGGGGAAGAGTTGGAGGTGATGTTTCAGGTTCGCCCCCGAAATTGTCAGGAGCAGAGAAACTGCCAAGTGCAAGACAAAGCTCCCTTGCTTCAGGGAGGGAAACCCGGCTGTCCTCACAGGAGGGCGGCTGTGTGAACACATCCTTTTCACTCTCCCCCTAAGACCTCTCCTTGGCCCCAGAGCCCAGTTCCAGGTCTCTCTCCTGGCATTCAAAGTCCTCCAAGGGGCTGGCCCTAGGCACTGAGCGATCACGTCTTCCTCTGCCCTCCTGCCCCTTGGCAGCAGGACCAGCGCTGGTGAGGGCAAGCTGGCTCCCCTCAGGCAAAGGAAGTTCAAGGTGGATTTTGCAGCCAGGACCACCCGGTTCCTTCCAGTGTCGCGGGCGAAGCCGAGTAAACGGGGCCCCCGCCAGACCCCCCGCGCCCCGTGCCTGGGGCCGGGGCACATTTGCTGCTGGGGCGACAATCCCTCCTCCCGCAGGGCCGAGGCCGGGGCCGGGGCCGGGGGCAGGGGC